ATTATTTATGTGTCGTACACTTTGGAACTTTACCATCGGACAAAAATGTTCGAACGACCAATTTATTGAACTGATGCGGTGAAACGAAGACAAAACAAAGACAAAAGATCGAATGCACGAGTGCAAAAAATTGTCATTGATGTTCTTTTTTGCCTCTTTGTACTAAAGGAATGCGCTTACACCTTGGCTCAAGCGAAAATTTATGATTTCAATTTGCCACATAAAGACAGTTATCTCTTAAAAGTTTCACGAAAACCGCAAAAAACCGTGACGACCCGCCAAAAATGAACATACTCGCCTTCAACCATTTTTAAGTCGAAAGAAACTTACTCTTCTCTTTCATAACAAAGTCAGTGTAACAAATATAGCTGCACAGTTAATAATATATTATTAATTATACTATCGGTATTAACATCGCATGTTAATAATATATTGTATGATAATAACGGTATTAACTAGTAAGTAATAGCGATATTAACAGGCGATGTTAATAAAGTATCAGTTGCTAATACTGCCTAGTTAATAATATAGTATTAATAATTATTAATAATATATTATTAACTGTGCAGCTATAGTAACAAACACTACTCTCAATCTCACCTATAGATATGAACAAACGCCGGATATTGCAGCTTAAGTAATAAACATTTCAATTCAACCTACAATAAATTTATGACAGTTTGGTGAGAAAAAAAAATCTTTTTTTTCTTTCTTTCAAACTGAGAATTCAATTTTAATGCAAGTTCAAAGTGAACAATCGCATTTTAATGAAAATAAGAAATGATCGCTCACGTTCCAAATTGCAGTGTGACATTTCTTTTTTGGATAAAACGAAAAGAAAATGGAACGCGTTTGAATGGCAGCAATCAGGTGGCATGTCCTATTTCGTTGAATCCATTGATGTTGGTAACTTTAATGCAAAATCTCAAAAAAAACAAGAAGCCAACGAAGGGTAAAAAACAGTTTTCTTTCCATCCATTCGTCCGTTGTCGTCCGATTGGCTTGTAATTGAGGCGATCTCATTACGTTTTACTGTCAAATTCCTTGAAGTGCAGTGAAAATAAACTGCAAACTGCTGTGAATAACGAAGACTTCCAATGCAGTTCTCGTAAATCAGCTGCATCGACCAAAGAGTGAAAAAGCATATGCTTCAGAATGCTTGCTGTTCAGTCCAATAAAATGTGGAATCAATCGTTTAATCGATTTTGGTTCGAGCAAAGAATCAAGAAACGACGATATCGAATTGAAAGTAGAAACAGATTTGTGAATTCGATTTTCAATATGGTTCCTGTTGATGCAAAACGATGTGTGTATTGTATTATTTCAGGTGAAATTGATGAAAATTCGGTGGGGCAAAAATGGTTCTACGATCGATATGCTTCCATCTTGTGTGCCGCCTGATGTGCTTTGAAACGCTTATGGGCATTCAAAAAACATTAATCAAATCACATAATCGACGCACACGTTGCAACTTCCACAAGTATATAAGAGATTTTGTTTCAGTATTGCGTGCAAATATGTGTTGACTTTGACATTTTTTCATTTGCGTATTTGCATGCAATACTGAAGCAAAACATAAACTTTGCACAGTATTCCATGCAATGCGTTTTTTGCACGGTTTCAAGTGCGGCATAGCTCTTAAATGCTGCTGAAAGCGAACAATATTTTCGGTTGTACATACGATTTATCAATAGTAGAGAGGTAAGAGTGTGCCGAACCATTTGGTGTGTGATCATTTGGTCTCTTTTCCCTGCCATATGGCTCACTTGCAAAATGACGGAGAGAACGAGCGTCAGAGCATTTCCTGGTCTGAATTGCAACTGTGCTCAGATTACAACACGGACAAGTATTAGAAGTTGAACGAGGAAAATTTATGGCCATCGCCGAAAATTATAATTCATGTATCTGCAATTGGCATTGAATAGCACACCGGAACCGATTTACATATTGCATATCATCATATCCATTGGGTGTTACACACTCCAAACCGAATCCCGTCAAACATGTGTAACTTCAAAATTAACAATAAGAACATTTTGGGAGCGAGCGATAGAAAATCGACAAATGGACTGGAGTGAATTGGAGAGAACGACAGTAAAAGAGAGATAAAGAGAGAGCGAGACGGCGAAAAATGAGAGAGACACACAAATTGAATGTTGAAATAGAGTGAGAAAGTGAGAGACAGAGCTCCATTGAAAAATTGGCGAAGCATTTGCACCAAGGGTGGATTTAATAATACATGGACACTTAGTTTGGTTGGTTGCAGTTGGAAAATGGTACTGAAAACAGTTACACACACACACACATCAAATGGATGCGAAAAAGAAACAATATCGAGAAACAATGTTCGATAATACTTAGCATTTGCTGAGTTGGAGTAAGACTTTGTGTGTGGAACGAGAGCGAATTGTTTTTCCTGATGTGCTCCGTGTGCATTGCATCCATCACATGGCATCGATGCATTCATCACATTTCACGTTCTACTTGTAACGTTAGCAATTCATTGTCGCTTGTGCATGGAGCGCAAAACGCATGCAATTTTAAGTACATGACAAATCGAAGCACTTAGCTTTAATGTTTCAACAAATTTGTTGTGTTGTACGGTTTGTTGTGGCACAGCCAAAGTGTGTAATGGTTTTGTATTCGGCTCTATTGTGTCGGTGCGTGCATATCAGGGTGTCCGTTTACTGCTGTCGATTCAATTTCAAATGCTGCATATTTATGAATGGCAAAAGAATAAATGTAATTTTCTTGCGTTTCGCTCTTTTGCATTTTATGGATATATGTGGTAAGTGTCGGGGAACTCTTACGGTTCCCATACTCCGGCAATGAAGTGACAAACGTGCACTTGCTCAAACACAAAACGACAAACTGAAAGATTTTCAGCAAATATTCACGCTTTAATCCACTCGGTCGATTCAGAAGTGAATTGTGTGAGAGTGTGTGTGTGTGTGTGTGTGTTGGCCAACTGAAATAACATTCGAAAGATAAACACACCGTAAAATAAATACGAGGAATATATTTCTCTGTTCAACGACGGTATTTCAATTCGGTCTGTTCAACTGCCGTGCGTTCTTGCGTTACCATTATCAATATATGTTAATAAATTGAACAAGTCTTGGCATATTTTACATTTTCAAAAGATAAGATTAAACGCGAAGCATTTAATTTAGCCGAACGCACCTTCGTCTTTTTTTTTCTCTTTCTTTTTTCTTTCCCGTGCCGTGTATTATCCAAAATTGCACGCCTTACTGATTTTGAAGCCAGAGCATACTAAAAAAGAGATACATTTGATTTAATCAATGGAAACGAAACGATTCTTTTTCAATTTGAAAACATTCATTTAAATGCAAAACCAAACATGGTAAATGGCATCGGCTATATCTTAAGAGAATAGAGAGAATAGGCCCCCATTAAAATATCATCGATTATAATGTTTTTACGTTTGTAAAAACTCTATTGAAATTGGTATAAATGTATTTCAAAGTCAATTTGAAATATATGTCCAAAAAAATAGATTGCTTTCAACAATAATAAAATGCTCTTTCTCATGGTACTCGTCGCTCACTCGTTCGCGCCTAGTGCCAGTCTTTGTGTTCTATATTTGGATTTCAATACGGCATTGTGTGCCGAATTTTTTTTTTTTTGTCTCTTTTACTCTCTGTAGCCTATTTGTAGCCGATAAAGGAGGAGAAATTTCACAAAACAACACATTCGACTTTAACAATAAAAAACAATCGGGTGACGTGCGTGCGCGCAAATACCGAACCAACACAAAAAAAAATTGATTATTATTAAATTTTTGAACAAAACAATGGCCCGAGGAAGAGCTGCAAACATGAAGAAAAAAAACACCAAACAACGCACTGTATCAATAGGAGTAGTAATAATAGCACGGCCAAACGTCATTATTATCAGTGTTGTTCTTCATTCTCTCTCGAGATTTTTTTTATTTGGATTTTATTTTCGGTTTTTTGCCTTTTGTGGTAACGATTTCAATAGATGTGGTTCGAAATATTGATTTAGTCAGTTTTTGCAAGCGTTAAGTCACTTGCTATTTTTTTTTTGTTTTATTTTCGTTTAAATTGTTTCCCTTTTCACTAAAATTTATTCTTTTTTCGAACTTCAAATTTTACTTGAGATTTTCAATATTGTTGTTGACTTGTTTCTTTTTACTTCAACGAAACTTAAAACACTTGAGACGTTGTTAACGATCATTGGATCGATATTTTATATGCATCATGTCTCGATTTGCTTAGTGGGCGCCTTGCGGCCTTTTCTCTCTAATTTTTAACGTGAAACGCGAGGAGACGCTGACAAAAAATATTGGCAGATGAATTGAATTGTTTAATTTCTTTTCATGGGAGAAGAATGAATACACCACGGTAAAATTGTCGAAAGCATTCCGAATCTCTGTTGATGTTTTTTTTCTCAACAGAGTTTGCTTTGCGAGAGATGAGATTGCCGCCAAATGAAAATGCCATCATTAAAAATGCACGAGATTATTAATAGTGACTTACGAAGCATGGATTTCATTTTTTTTTCCATGCTCTTCAGGAGAATGTGAAGAAATTTTTTTACACTTTTACGAGGAGTACTCGTTGAATGATAAAAAAAGGCGCTCATTTTCATTGCCCTACCATTTATGACCAGAAAAAAAACTCATTTACTTTTGCTAGAAGGAACCTTTGAAAAAATCGATTTACTTTTTACCGAACATTTATGCGTTACAATATCGAAATGCAAAGGGAACTATGGCGTGGTAGGAGAGGAGAGCAAACCATAAAATATATATCGGAACGCATATCAAATGACATTAATGGTTTGAAATGATTAATAGACAAACGATTCTCACCTATTTTTCTCTCGACCACTCTCTGGACGAGCTTCGCTCTGACATGTGATTTCATGGGCCATTCAATCGAAAAACATAAAGAAAAAAATGAAAATAGAACAAATGCATTTATTTTATTAATTTCGTCAATTTTTCATTCGTTTAGACTATAAACACGAGGGATAACGAATCATTTATTAACTGAGACGACGACGACGACGACGACCATCAGCAACAACAACAACAGCAACAATAACAACACGAGGGTAAGCATTTGTGAGAAAAACGCACTTTACCACATATGATAGCCATTGTAATAATTGATTGAATTTGATTTGATGCTATTGCCTTTCGTTCACCATATCTACCAAATGTGATTCGCGTGGCGTGCATCTTGTTTATATCGAGGGAAAACGAAATGCACGATTTAACAGCGTCGTGATGCCGTGTGCAATACACTTTGTCAGCATATATGGCAATATGGAAACTGAAACGAAGCACATATGCATAACAGTTTCCAATCAACGATAAACGATATTGAGAGCAGAAGAAATGTCGACGACAATCCAAAAATCGAAAACGAACAAAAAAAAATAGTCGATGCGACCCCAATAACAACAAAAATCACTTAAGACAATGTAAAACGAACACAAAATAAAAGGAAAATAAGATAACAACAACGCCAGCAGCAGTAGCACAAGGTTCGAATTAGACCGAGAGAAGAAGGGAAAAAAGAGCTAACAAATAGACAGGCAAATGTATCGAGAGTGGAAAAATGGAATTGACAGTGTTTCTTTATGGATATTATGAACGGAAATGGGCTTTTAAAATGCGTACCGACCGATCGACAAATTTATCTATTAGCTATCGCTATTCGAGTGTAATGTTATTGCTGTTGCTCGGGTTGTGTGTGTGTTGTTGCTGTCGTCGTTATTGTCGGGCGACAGACAACGAAAATGACGATACTGCTCTAGAAATTATTGAAATGATGACAACGCGAACGACAACCAAACATACTTTATTCATGCTGATGCAGAATGGTTAATGTGATTAAAGTGAAATTTATGCGTTCGCCTCTTAATCACTCATTCCAAAACGAAATGTGATGGCACGAGAACGAAATGAATGGAATGGAATCAACTAAACTGTGAAACTTGATGACTTTGCGTCCATATTTTTCTTCTGTTGAATTGGTTTGTTTTTCTTCTCTCATTCTCTCTATTTTTCCCGCATCTCATGTATCATATGCTCAATAGAGACACGTTATGTTCGCGTTATTGTTGTCAATCGTTCACATTTTGTTCCGCTCGATTCCCTTCCGTTTTGTGAAACATTATGTGTCTTATGCCATTTTTTCTCCCAAAAGTCAATTCAGATTCAGAGTGTGTGTGTGTGTGTGTTTGTTTTTTTTTTTCGTCTCTCTTTCCGAATTATTTCTCTTTTTTTTGGCTTTTATTTAGTTCGAATCTGCTATTTACTTTTGGATGTATGTGTTGAAGTTTTGTTATTATTTTTGTGCTTCGTTGTTGCTGTCGTCGTTTTCGCTGGCCTGTACGCTGTATCGTTCGTTCATGCGGTAAAATGAAACATTGGAAAAATAGTTTTACATATGTTTTTGGCGGTGTCAATTTATACTCAACCGAAAAATATTCCAAGCATTACAATATAGCAAAACAAGATACACAAATATACAGAAGATGAAAAAAAGAACATGAAGACAACAAGTTTTTGTTATTTTTTTTTGTTCGACTTGGCAGCCGGCAAAAATGCATATGGAATAATCAGCAAAGCGTTCACAATCTGTCTGTCGGCTTCATGTTCCGAATAATGTTGTAACATACCGAATGTTAAATGTAAAAACGGCCGAAAGAAGTTCGAAAATCAATATTTATATCGATTTCATTCAGCAGTTGTAGCATTAGCTCTCGCCTGCATCGTTCAGTGTGGAGAAATACAAAGTCAATGGAATGAATTTGAATAAATTGAAAAGTTTTGTTTTATTGACGAGCAGCAAATAAATATAGCAATAGAAAGAAGAAAAAATGTTGTAAATCATTGGAAATATCGGTCGGTATCTGTGTATGTTTAACACAGTGAATCCTTGTATTTTGAGGGGAGGAAAACGAGCATGGATACAGTCCAATTTCAATATATATAGAAAATTATGTTCGATGAGAAATCGGTCGTCAGCGAGACATTCAAGCATATTTAATAAAAATTAATGTGCGTTGAAACTCCTGCAACAATCAGAGTTCTAGAGTGAGACGCGTGGGGCGTATTTGATAAGAAGGGAAATGAGCATCATGTTGCTCGTGTCTCGATATTATGGCTTCGCTGTACTGAATATTCATCATCTATCGGGCCTAAGTGCTCCGCAAACAACACAGCCTTATCATTGTTGGCGGGAACAAAACAGCTTGATGTTGATACTGTTATTGTTGTTGTTGCTGCTGCTTTTTCATCAAGTAATCTAAAGCACTGAAATGCACAACAAACGCAAGTTCAACAAAAATCAAAATTCCATCGAGACAAACTGAGTGTGAAACGTGTATTATTATAGAGAATAGGCAGCTACACTTTTTTGACACAATCAAAACACAAGCCCACGCAAACGAATCACACACATTTTTGAGCCAGTAGACGAAGCACCCATCCCAAAACCATACCGAAAAATTAATTCCATCGAACATTTCCAATAAATAAAAGAAGAAAATAACGTTCGATTGCTAAATATGTGCTCAAAATGTGTTGCGTGTGCCTAATATCGATTTTAATGCCAAATCTACTTCATCTTCTTTATAAATAGACAACTTATTAAATTTCAATGAAATTCGAGATAGTGATGCCTTTTTTTGGTTCCATCGTAAAGTTTGTGTGTGTGCGTGTGTTTTTTGCCTTGTTTCGTTTTGATGTCAGATAAAACCGGTATAGTGCGATGCCAATTTATTGCTATTGCGCGTGCCTGTACCGTTTCTTTTTATTCATCGGTTGTCTTCTCTTACCAATGGCGTAATTTCCATCTATGATTGGGAACAAAAGATGTGCAGAAACTCACACGCATTTACCAAACTACCGACACACGGTATTGTGTGCTGTTTCTCATTTCCCACCGAAAATGGAGATGAACGAAAAAAAAAAAAAAAAAAAAAAAACAAATTATTTTCGACGAAATACAATATTTTTCTGTGATGTTGCTAAGAATGAAGAAATCCCGAATAGAGAAAATATCGATTAAGAATGGCAATCGAGTGCGGCAAAAACAGACGGAGGCAAACCGTTTGATGGAAATATTCTATTACTGCGGTTGAAATTTCTTTTCCAATTTCAATGCGGACATATTCTTTAGCATCTCATATTGCAGTGTAGTAGATAGAGTCGAGCCAGCGAACGAACGTCCTGTGTTTGCTGCCGATGCTGTTGGCTTATTTGTCATCGTTTTCATCATTCGTTGAGTATTCGCCTTTGACTAGTCCAAATCTGTCTACGGACAGATTTGTAGAAAAACGATCGAAAGAACTAAGAAAACACAAAAAAGCAACGAAGCAACAAAAATGAAAACGATTTGCACGAAAAATTGATGCCACCATAAATAATTTCAGTTTTGCATTGTTAAATGTGTCCAATTGAAGAGAAAAGTTTTATTACTACAACTCTTATCCAATTCTGCATTGAAAATTGTCTTCAGGCACTTCAACGACCCGAATCTTCGTTCGAATGTTGTCTGAGAAAAAAAAACTCTGTGTTTGTACTAATTACATTTATATTTTGAGCATTTCCTACATTCTACGGTAAGGGACAGAAAAAAAAAACTCATTTCCAACAAAAACTAGAGAATTCCACGCATTTTCGCTATATTCAAAAACAATCATAACTTAAGGACTAACTTAAAAATGGTCATTGGTTAGATGATATCGCCAGTTTCGAACTTGATTTTTCTCCTCGTGATGCGATAAATTATGGTTTGGTCTCATTTCAAAGTTACGGTCGAAACGATAATCGAAATGGGCCGTTGCGGTAACGGCATCGACTGTATCGCGATCCAATCGACAGTTGAGCAATTTGATACGGACTCGTTGCACTAGCAATTGAACGAAATTTTTCTTTTCGTTGGTTGTTCGCGGCAATGACGACAATGGTGGCAGTTGCATATGCGATGATTTGTCGGCGGCTGCAATTTGTGTTGGTTCAGTGATGATTTTTCGATCAACGCGATGGCACATCGATCGAAAGGGAAATGTTTGTCATAAGAAACTTGTGTCGATATTTCGTTGATTCTTCTTCAAAATGTACAAACAAATGCATAAAACCGCCAGCAGCAAAGTCACCAATATCAGCATTGAGAAGAAGGCGTGCTTGAACTTTGAGCCACTTGCAGCTGCTATTGCAATGTACAATGGATCTTCATCGAAATTCGTGCGCGAATATATTTCATCCGACCATCGATACGAACTCATTTCCGGCAATAAATCCATCCAAAACGAATTGATTTTGGTCAAGGCATTATAGTACTCAGACGTTTCATACACGCCTAAATAGCTTTTTGACATACGCGCCGAATCGGTTGGACTTTGTGGTATATTCTCTTTGCCAATACGATACGGATTTAGGATATTCGTTGAAACAACACGAGTTTGACCGTGAATCATATTTTCAATTTCAACCGAATTCTTCTCTAAATCAGCGATAAACATCCCATTTTCGGCAAAATTTGTTGTCGTCGTCGTTGCATCGCTTGATTCGCTGGTTAACGAATTATCGCCCAAAATTTGAACAAACTTTTGCTTGGCTGTATACGGTCGCCATGCATCAAACATTCGATTCGGTGTTGGATTGCCCATTTTTATAAATTCACTGAACAAATGCCGAAATCGACGACACAATCGCATTTCCATCGAGCTCAATTTTCGACGACTGATTTGCTGGAATAAACTCGGTCCCATTAAGAATAATAAATCCGATGTATGACCAGCGCCACCGAAATAATTGCTCGCACCACGAATGTCTATCGATTTTGTGTGATGGAATGAATACACGTAAAAGGTTTTTTGCGCACGACGTTGAATCGCACTCTCCATAGCAACCGTATCATTTGTTGTTATTGTGGATGCGTTTATCGGTTGATCACTGGTTAAAAGTTCAATTGTTTCCAGAAACGGAGTCTCATACTTTGTTTCGGATATCAATCGTTGCATCGCATTCAATAGGTAAGATGCGGTTTGTGGGATTCGGTCGAAAAATCGCCAAGAAATCATTCGACGCACCTGCTCCGTTGCACCATTCACAAAACCATAGTGAACTAATATATTCGGCAATAACGTGGTTGTCACGTACTTTTTTAACGGTTCATATCCTTCACGTGCCAGCTCAAGCCACAGTTCTAAAAGAGGAAAGACGAAAATACTTCTTTTTTTTCTTCCGCAAAAATCAATAAACTTTGATATGATACTAGACAATTCCATAACAATTTGAAACCATGTAAAGTTCGAGCATTTAGGAATAAAAATAAAAAAGGAATAAAACCTTGAATGAAAGCGCCTTCGTTACTAGTTATCCCCAACAAAATCGGTATATTTGGATAGTCTCCGAGTTCTAAAACCATTTTCGGATCGTTTGGAAGGTACTGAATCGACTTTGGTAGATATGTATCGATTTGAGGACCAAGGAGTTTGGTATAGTTTCCATGCTGATACAAAAGATAAAGAAAAAATTGTAATTTGAAAATAGAAAAAGGAATGGATGTCCATAATGAAATGATTGAAAAAAATCGGTTCAATATTGAATCTTCATTCAAATCAATGGGTGAGATTGAGACTCTCAATTTGAGAGTACCAAGTGTATGTTATTTTGACGACTTATATTTTGATAAAATAGAGTATATTTTCCTCATGGTTTTGGCAATGACAAGAAATATCGAATCGGTATCTTCGCAAAATTTGTTGGTCTTCAAAAACAACTCTACAAAAGTTAACTATCGTTTATCTGTTGAAATAAATAAATTATTGTGAAAATGAAAACATACTCTACTTATTCCAATACAAAGCCTGTAAAACATACACCACACTCGATTTCACCCATAGAATTGATTGTGTAACGAAAGTATCCAATATATCTTTGATAAAAATATCTTGATATGCCATTATCTAATCAACGTAATTTTACCTCATAAACTTGTTCGAATGCCTTCAGTAAGTCGTTAACGCTCTTCTGTCTGAGACAGTCCAAGATATATTTAACATGTGCCGAACCGCAGGCAAGTTTTTTTACAATGGCCGAAGAAAGGTCATTGCTTGTGGTCAAATTGTTTGATCTGTCAACATTTTGATATGAATAAGTTGAATAAATGGTGCCCGACATGAGAATCATGCGTGTGAAAAGAGTAGCTGTTTTTGGATTGGTCAAGTGAAGCATTGCGTTCGGCGCCCCTGAAGTTCCTGTTTCGTTCGTTCATGCGGAAAAATGAAACATTACATTAGTTTTACATATGTACGGTGTTTATTTTTAAGGCTCCACCGAAAAATATTCCAAGCACTAAAATACCATGGCCGAGCAGTGTGATTTGATGTCGATCACCACCAAATTTCTGTATATTTTCTTCAATCCATTCGAATGCTAATCGTTGATCGAGTAAACCTAAGTTGCCGGGTGCTTCTGGACTCCGTAGACTCAACCAGCCAAAAATATTTGTTCGTGATTGAATTATTACCACAACAATGCCTTCAGCAGCCAAATCTAAGCCAGTCGGTCGATTTTGTGCCCAATCAAATGCTTGCTCTTCTCCGGTTATAATCACCAACACGGAATGATTTCCGCCACGAAACGCAGACTGCGTGTTTTTAATTCAAAAATGTATTTTGTGATAAAATGCGTTTTTGAGTCGAAATGGCCTACCTGTGGCGCCCAAATGTTCAAGAATAGACAATCTTCATCGGTTTTTATTGCATGCGGTGCATATCCATTGTGCGTTTCGTCAAACATATAATTGGTTAGTTGCGGACAAATTGGTTTATAATCGCGTGCCGTTAACGTACGATTTCCCCAGCCAAAATGCTGTCGCGGTGCCTGAAAAATTGATAAATTTTCTCTTGTAATTGGACACGGTCATCAAACTAATTTGAACATTTATCAAGTGTTTTTGATCAACGAAATAACGAGAAAAAAAAAATCAAAAGCGAAAAATTCACTCACCGCAAATCGCAAATTGCCAGTAGGTGGTTGAGCATATGGAATACCCAAGTATGAATAAACGGCCGTTCTGGAAGTTTCTGGGAAAATTTTCAACTAGAAAAACAGTTCAATTTGAATATGGTGTGTGTAACAGGTGTTGATATTTAGCGGAAAAATGTAAATGTTCCGAGTGATTTTCTTACTCCAATCACGGTGCCTTGTTTTAGCAACACGGTTCCATCCGGATGTTGTGCCTGCACCGTCAAGCACAGAATAAAAGAGAAATACAAAGTCGCTTTACTGCTTATGGTTTTATCCATTATTTTGAATTGTCAAACGATTTCGGCGCTTGAAACGATCTTCAACCACACTTTTCGAAATAACAATATTCCAAGTACACCTTTGACCTCTCTCTCACTATCACTCTTGCTCGTTTGCTCGCTCTGTTGCTCTCACTCTCACAAACACTTTTAAAAGTCTATTTTCGAAATCATATCACCTTACTGATATCACTCTGGTGAATCGTTTTGAGCCAAACTCATTTTACAATGAAATTGAGTTCATTTTGGGTCGGCAACAAAAACATCTCTGTCCAAAATTATCTATTTCACTTTTCACTAAGGCCAAAAGCACACGCACTCACACACCAGCCAATGACAACAGAAGCGCAAAAACCTTCACGTTGGAAAAAAAAAAACAAACAAACGCCACCGAGCATTGAAATGTATTCCACATTTATTACATAATTAAAACGGCTTAAAGCAGCTTTTTAGAAACGGTCAATAGGTTAAACGTGACGATTTTCGTTACTTGTGCTACGCAAAAACCATTGCACAATATTTGTATGGAAATAACGGGCACGATGCGATTTTACTCTTTGTCGGCGATGTTGACTGAAAAAAAAAGATACGGCAGGCAGCTGCAAACGTGCGTCGTTACAAAATATGCTAGAGTTGTGCCATCACATTCACAAATAGAAAGAACAAAAAAATCCGATTTTAGAATAGAGAAAAGGTGTACGATTGAAATCTCACTGCAATGATATCAACGACATTACAACACGATGTTCCAGACCAGACTGCGTTTCAAATCAAATATTTAAAACATCTGACTGCACACTGAGAACTGAGAGTGACGAGAAAGAGAGAGAGAGAGAGAGAGAGAAAAAACAGTAACAATTTTTTCTTGTTGTTTGTAATTTTTCAAATCACCATCGCATTCCCGAATGTTTACTTTTTATGCACTGGGTGTTTCAATGGACCGAGAGTCGGTCGTGGTGTTTCATGGGAATTAAAATAGAATACGATGCGGAACAAGTGCTAGACAAATGCTTGAATCACCCTATAGTACGGTGACTTCTCTTTTTCAGTATGCTGATTTTGTACATTTTTTTTTGTTTTACCTTTCCGTTTCGTTTGTTTCCGATTATTGTGCCATATGATCCTCTTTGTCCGTCTCTTTCTCGACTCGACAATATTTTTTAATTGGCCGCCGTTCGTTCTGCGGTTCAAAGAGGAGAAAGAGCGAGAAAAAACAACCCGTACGTACGCACAATGCCTCTGAAATGAATGAACAAAACTCAACTAGAATAAATTATTGAAAAAAAATTATTACTATTATTACGTTATAGCCGGGGTCTGTGTATATATTGTTGTTGTTGTTAATCCATCGTGTATTTTATTTAAATATAAATCGTGTTGTGAGTGTCCATAAATAATTTGAGTTGTCTTTGTTGTGGGTTTGAGTGTGTGTGTGTGTGTTTTTTTTTCTGTTTGGGCTTTTCGACTGGGCTCGCAATTTAAATGGTTTTCGAAAACGAATGAATGGTCGAGAAATTGCTCGCCAAAATTGGCCAGTATTTTTTTTCTTTCGGTTTGTTTTGTGAATCAGTGCACACATTCATTTTCACATCGATTCGGTTGCATGCCATCATTGTATCGTCACCGCTCTTCCACTGCCGTACCATCAAAACCATTTTCGATGTGCATGTTTCAAATTTAACGCGAATGTGTGTATGTACACACGCATTTTCGCGTTTTTAAGTCGTTTTTTCTCTCTCTCTCCCTCCCTCTGTATGTGTTTGTGTGTGTTTGTGTGTGTGTGACGTCACACAATCCATAATAATGTGGAACTCGGAACCGTATATCCGGTACTGTTTGAAAACACCGTACCTTTTTATCATCATCATGTATAATTTTAGTTTGTTTCCACAACAATGCGTTTTTCGTTCTGACATAAAGCCGATGCACATTGTTGACGGCTTTTATAGTTGCGGTGTAATTAAAAAACCATACAGAGAGACATAGATAGAAAGATAGAGAGAGAGAGACACATAAGTAGAGATCATCTCTTCATACGTTCATATCATATTTTGATGAATTTGCTAGTGATGTAGTGTTTGAAACGCCATTATTTTATGACTACGGGCACATAGACATCAGACAGGATACAAAACTACTAATTGGCTATTGCTGTATGTTCTTTGTCGACCACCAGCAACAACATCATTGATGTTGTGTGTTTACACTGCTTTTATCATACGTGTCATTTGTTTTCTGTCATATTGTTTCGCGTGATTTTTACACTTTTTCGCACCATTACCTTGATCGGCCTTGAACAAAAAGATGATACTTTTGCTGATGTTGGCATTATTGCACGATTTTTAATTGCTTGAATATTTTTTCAACCATAATTAATATTCATGTTTGTTCTCATTGTTGAAATATTTATACCCAAACATTCTTGGTCAATTTTAATATATTACACAACATCTGTCGTTTCATGCAAATTAAGTTGTGATTCAAAATGGTTTTCTTTCGCATTGGTTCGTCATTGCTTTGTGAATTGTTTTGGGCTCTTTTTTTTCTGTTTCTCTCTTGGTTTCTCTGGTCGATAAAACTGCTTTTATTCCGAAATGTTTGTACGAGTTGGTGAAGGATGTTTCTTTTTGTACGGCACTTTTTTTCAATAGCGCAAATGCAAAGTTTTCCTTTTTTTTCTTCTTCTTTGAGACTTTTCAGCTTTTCAAAGCGGATAAGATTCCACTTTTGTCTTCCTTTCGTTCGATCGTTTGTGAGCTCATATTTTTTTGCATTCTTCTCTTCATTCAGCTTTTTCTCCCATTATTATTATCTGATGTTTGAGCCAAAATCCGCTCGATAATAAGTCAAGTTTGATTCCGTTTTAAAGTGGACTCACATCAAAATCACAGGAGACCGGAGCCATAAATTTCGAGAAAAAAAAGGAACCATATGAAAGAATGAAGAATAGAAACCAACGAAGAATGTGTGAGAGAGAAAAGAATAAAACACTCGGTGTACATCCAAATATTTGCACGCGTATATATTCCCGAGATCATACGATTCGTTGGGTCTATTAAAAAAAAAAAAGAAAAGAAAAGAAAAGAAATATGGGGAAACGGTGCAAAGATAGAAATAAAAGATATGCGTTTGATAACGGCACACAGAATAAAAGTGGAAATAAAGGAAGAATGAAAAGTGAGGTGGAAGGAAGAAGAACCAGGATGATATTCGTTTACACATGACAACCGTAAATAAACATAGCGACCAAAAGACACGAAATGTGAAAGAATATGAACAAATGGATAGCGTACCATCGAATTTGAATGGGAAGTGAATTTTTAGTTGGAAAATACACCATACATCATTTTTGTGAGCGGTTGCAAGTCAACGAGACACAAAATGTGTAAGAGAGAAAAGGAAAGAAAGACAGTTTTCGTATTCTGGGTGAACCAATTTGGCCATTGTCGACTATTTGACTAGGATAAACACGTTCAGCATAATGCTGTTGATCCGTTACCATTTGGAATTTTGATCGAAGAACGAAATTTGATACAAAGATAACATTTCGTATGCCTTTGCCGGTTATGTTCATGTTGCTGTTATGCTTGACGTGGAGAGAGAGAGAATTAGAGTGTGTGCTTGCATTTGTGATAAAGAAATGTGGAATACACATCGAGCACCTTGTTCTCTCTGTCTTTATCGCTTTACGCTTTATCTCCAACTCAGTCACTCACTCACTCGTATTTGCAGCTATAGTGGAAAAGCCGAAAGATTTTAAGTCGAATAATTAAATGCACATATTTATTTTGCATCGTCTCCGCAATGAGAGAGAGTTCGTGTGTAAATTGCGTATGTGCAAAGGTCAGCGTGATTTCTCTCTGACTGTATTTAAATCTTTGCCTATCTGCGTACCGACACTATAATGGATTGGGTTGAAGTGTGTGTGTGTATATATGTGTGTTGTTGTTACTTGTGCGGAGCCAACGAGTGTAGAAATAGGATATCTCGACATGGGCTAAAAAGGAAATTGCATAATATAAACACTTGAAATAGTCGACATAGAAAGATGAGACACTAATGCATTCACTTAAAGCGATAACAGCCGGGTTGCGTACACGAAGCAGCGCTTCGGATCTTATCAGTGCGGCAATACACACACATACACACAATGAGCGACTGAGGCCCGAAACAGAAATGAAATGCATTCATAAATAAGGTCAAACAGTGTCCGTGTTGCAATCTCGCATGCATTAACCTTAACACCCGTATCACATAAAGATGCCTAAATGGAACGTCCTGAACACCAAAAATATTGTACGGCAGTTGGCCAGATGCCAACTCTTTTTTCCCCGTTCATTCGCATCTATTTCAGCTCCTCGATTTATTCATTTAAGAATGTGCCACAATAAGAGCGTCACACGGGAATGAGTCTTCTAGCATAAAACGGTGATGCTGCGGCTGCTGTGAGCATACATGACATCGTAGTACGAATCATGAATACGAATGCATTTCGGTTATTATGCGCCCACACTTTTATATTTATGTTCATAAAAGCAGTGAAAAGAAGGAGAAAAAAAAAACTTCATTTGGACAACAAATAACATCACACAGTCGCACCATGCTATTCTCGCTATCTTCTTTTTATAATTCCTTTTCTGGCTGTTTGCATTCGCTCACCTCGGCTCTTTACGGACCGGCGAGAGCAGTGCAAAAATGCGAATATCATTTTATTGGCAATACTCATGCTAAGGTGCTCAGAACTAAATGATCTAAAAATTTGACGAATTTTCATATTCTAGTTTGACTGCTCTCTTCTTATCGTTCGATTTCGTGTCGCACAATCGCCATATTTGCCTCGTTCAATGGTGAAAGAATTCCTGATAAACGTGATCAGTAGCAAAAACAATGAAACATGCAAATAGGATATTATAGCATCGAATTGATAGTCTTGCTACTTTTTTTTCCTCACGTTTGCACGCGAATGCAGAGAACAACAGAAGTAGATTTTTTTTGAAGCAGTCAAGAGTCGAATTATGCCCACGCGATTTTTATTCTGTTGTTACTGCGGTTGCTGTTGTGTCACAGTACGATACATATATTTATAGAATTTTCATATCGCACACCAACACGATCAATGTTGCAGCCGTGCTCAAGCACCATTGTCACGTTTCTTTTTCTCTTCCTTATTTTCTGGCATCCATCGGTACGGTGCAACAACTTGAATATGGCACAGCTGAAGAGATATCAACAGCCCGGAACGTGAGTTTGAAGTTTAAACGATAATAGAAAAGGAATAAGGTACAATATTTTCAACAGATGAAAATGTGCTCAACATTCGGTTTTTGTGGGTCGAGTGAGAGAGAGAGAGATAGAGAGAGAAAGAGATGGTTCAACTGTGATAGAAATATGTCTTTGAAAACGAATAATATTTATCTAGATTGTTTGTTATTTCATCTCTTTCTCGGTATTTTTTTTTATTTTTCATTCTACCCTGTGTGTATTTATCCTAGCGGTTGTGGAACTCTTTTGACATGAACAAGCGTTCCCTTTTTCTTGCTCTCTGTCACTCTTCTTTTTTCTCATATACCATATATTGATGCTACGATTTCAAATATCAAATATGGTATGGTTTTTCCACTTTTGTTTGACTTCGGATGGCCTGTGACCGATTCTTGGTCATTCCTTTTTTCTCTTTCTCTTTCTCTCTTTGCCTGGACAGAATAATGAACTGAAGTTAAGTGTCGAAATACGAATAAACACACTATTACCAGCAGTGAA